AAAGGTATATACATCGCGCGATCATATATAAAATTTTTAATCGCATCGAAATAGTGCGGAAGTGCCGTTCAGTATCGCGCGTAAAATAACGAAAATAGCGATATAAAAATGTCGCTCGCGAGTGCGGGAGTGTCGTCAAAGTATCGCGCGCCAACAACATGAGAGGAGGAGAGGGCCTAGGAGAGGCATCGGGCTCCGGCAGAGCATCCTTCTGGTAAGCAATTTATTTATTTGTAATTATATATTAAATATTAAATATTATATTTATTATAATTTAAATTAAACAATTAATCGCAACAATTAATTTGATGTTTTTATTTATATTTAAATAAGGCAGAATTAAAGAAAAAGGTTTTTAAATTAAAGCTATAATTGTAAAGGTGTAAGCTTTTATAAAGTTATAAGAGAATTATTAGTAACGTTTTTTAAAATTTATAGAATTATTTTATTAATCTGCTATTATTATATGCATCGAATATAAAATTCAATGTATACAATAATTTTTGTAATATTTAATTATTTTGAACGCTGCTACATTGAAATCTTCTTTTGCATGTTATAGATCGATGCAACAACCCTGATGATCTGAGAGGAGGAGCAGGCCTAGGAGAGGCATCCTGCACCGGCGGATCTGATGGTGAATATTATTATTTATATATTAATTGTTATAAATCGTTAACTTGTTATAAACGAACAATAATTCGATCTTATTATTTAAATGAATTGAAAAGAAAGATTTTTTAAAAAGTCATATAAAATTTTCTATTTAAAAAACAGTTTCAAAAATTTATAAAATTTTTCCATGCGTATTTATCTCCTTATTATTTTACACATTGGATATAAAATTCCGTGCGATAAAAATTTTTTTAAATATTAATTGCATTTTGTGAGCATTATTATAAATGAATTTTATATTTGTATGTTACAGACAACTAGCTTCGATAACATCTCCGCTGTTGCGCATCAGTGCCGGTGAGTGAAAAAAACTTTTATTTAATTTTAAGGTAACGGATTCGTAGAAATTGCAGATGTAGATGTAGATGAAGATTGTAGATTGTAGATAAATCCGTTTTCTTAAAATGGATGAGCTAGGATGGATTAAATTAAATAAATTAAATTAAATAATTAAATTAAATAATTAAATTAAATTAATTTAATTAAATTTTAATAAGTTCTTTCGAACTTATGCTTTACATCTATTGCGAAAATATATTGAAATATTAATTAAAAAAAGAGGAGATCAAGAAAAGATTTTTTTGTAAAGATTTTGTCTAATTTATTAAATAAAGGACATCCATTAACAATTATTAATTTTTATCAATTTTTGATGCTAACTTTCTTATAATACGCACTTATTTTCTAATTGTTTATAGCTCATCCATCGTAAAATTTGTTTGTAGATATTGTTTTTAAACTTTACTTTAACTTAATAAAGCCAACTGATTAATTAATTAAATAATTTGTAATATGATAAAAATACACACATTAATTATATATTTTATTATAAAATATAATTTATAGAAATTTGTAGTAATTTGGTTTTATTTCAGTTAAAATAAAATTATATTCAAAATTTAACGAGCGATCGTGAAATCGAACGATCGTTATTAAATGAGCATAAATATTACGCTCTTTTGCCGGTAATTCCGGCAAAAGAAGGGGTAATTATCTCCTTCTTTGATTTCTGGTTAGAGATCGAGAAAGAAAGTGGCCAGGATTAACGAAAGGTAAGTTAAACTGGCCTGAAGAGTACGGTTAGGGTAAAATATATATACATAATTAGGTGAAGTGATGATTAAAGATAGGTTACTCAAATCTCGAATAATTTTAGTTAATTAGGAAGTAGAGTTGTTAAGGTTATTAAGTAAAATCATTAGAATTCTTCTATTGATATTAGGGTTGATAGCTCTTAAGAGGACTCTTAATCATTAGAATTCTGTAATAGTAGAATTGTTAGGGCTATGAAGTAAGATTCATTCTTTCTTTTAATATTCCATTAATATTTCGTTTAATATGGAGATGTGGGGAAATGGAGATATGCCATCTCGAGACTGCGGCCATCTCGAGATTGAGGTCATATTTTTATTTTAAACTGAACTGTTTTGAGAAACAATTATAATATATTACGCGATAAATGACTTGATAATTTTGATGAAAATGTATAAAAGAAAATGCATGAAATCACTTTTATACGAGTATACAGATATGGAAATGTGGAGAAATGGAGAAATGGAGATGTGGAGAAATGGAGAAATGGAGATATGTCAATTCGAGATTGCATTGAAGTTATATTTTTACTTTAAATTGAACTGTTTTGCGAAACAATCATAATATTGTACATTACGATGGACGCGATGGTTGACATGATAATTTTTATGAAAATAAATAGGAAAGAATGCATGCAACCATGTATGAGTATGAACCATTATATGAGTGTACAGATATGGAGAAATGAAGAAATGAAGAAATGAAGATGTGGAGAAATGAAGAAATGGAGAAGTAGAGATATGCCAACTCGAAACTTCATTGAAGTTATATTTTTATTTTAAATGGAACTGTTTTGAGAAACAATTATAATATATTACGCGATAAATGTCTTGATAATTTTTATGAAAATATATAACAGAAGATGCATGCAACCTTGTTTATATGAGTATACAGATATGGACATATGTGGAGAAATAGATAAATGGAGAAATAGAGAAATGGAGATGTGGAAAAATGGAGAAATGGAGAAATTGAGATATGGAGAAATGGAGATGTGGAGATGTGGAGAAGATGAGATGTGTCAACTCGAGACTGCATTGAAGTTATATTATTACTTTAAATTGAACTGTTTTCAGAAACAATCATAATATATTACGATCTATGCGATAAATGACTTGATAATTTTGATGAAAATATATAAAAGAAGATGCATGCGACCATGTTTACATGAGTATACAGATATGGAGATGTGGTGAAATGGAGAAATGGAGATATGGATAAATGTCAATTCAAGACTGCAATAAAGTTATATTTTTATTTTAAATTGAACTGTTTTGAGAAACAATCATAATCATATTTCGATCTACGCGATAGCTAACTTGATAATTTTTATAGACATATATAAGAAAGGATGCTTTCGACCATGTTTACATGAGTATACAGATATGAATATTCTGAATATTATCGATTTATTTATTCGTTGCATTTTCTCGGGAATTTTAAATGGCGATTTATCTTATAATTTAATCGTTGACTTATACATTGAAGCTTTGTTTATCTTCCCACGTCTTTGAATATTGTTTTTAATAATTTGTGCAAAATGCTGGTAGTGCAAATATTTTCTTCTATAATTTAAAAGACAATCGATAACTTTATTAATGACTATTTTAAACATAATTCTTTACATTATTTAAATCTTATTAAACTCTACAATTACATCGATTATTAGAGGGACTTTGAAAATCATTCGTTCCGTTATTTCCTATTAAACCATAACACGATTTTTAATTATATTTTAAAGCTTATAGAGCTCATTTCATCTTATTCAGCTAATTATGCGCGAAATAGGATATGTATTTTAATCGTGAAATTCGTATAAAGTCGCATATTAATGGCAAATAAATCTGACAGTGAATTTTATGTTCATAAACAATACGGATCACAAATGTTTGTCAAAATATCTTCGTCTGTCATCATTTGTGTGATAATAATTATATCGCACGCGTGTCTATTGATGGTTTCGATTATCATATTATAAAAATTATGCGTATCTCGCCATCAAATATTCCGATTATTGTCGATTTATTTATTCGTCGCGTTTTCTCGCAAATTTTAAATCGCGATTTATTTAGTAATTTAATTGTTGATTTCGAAGTTTATTCTATCTTTTCATTTTGAATATTTTCTTTGATAATCTATACATAATGCGCCAGTAATGCAAATACTTTTTTTTACAATCGAAGAAACGATCACTAATTTTATTAATGAATGTTTTAATCACGTTTTATTTACGTTATATAAAACTTATTAAATTCTATTATTACATATCTGTTATTAATAATAAATGTCGCGTAATTAATCTTCGCTGATCAGTCTCGTCTGGACTATGTAAAAATTTTTAGTAAATTTTATATTATACATATATTTTGGACATTTTCGTGTAATAATTTATTCCATGTAATAAATTATTTTATATTAACAAAACTAAATGAATAAACTTTGTTTAACTTTGTTTAATTAACTTTGTTTAATTTATTTTATATTAAATTTTGAATTATATTTTATATTAAATTTGTATTATATTTTGTCATATATTTTGTAATATACATATATTTAGCATAAAAATATTATATTAAGCATAAAAATATTATGTTGATATTAAAATTATAATAAAAATATATGTATAAAAATATATGCATAAAAATATATGTTGATATTAAAATTATAATAAAAATATATAAAAATAATGTTAGCTGTATTAGAGTGGAACATATGAACATATTCTTTATATTTTATATAAAGGAAAAGATTTAAAATATTTTGCAACGTTTATATTTTTCGAGTTTTAATTATAAAAACTTCAGAGGAATCAGTGATTAATTTGACAAATTCTATACATGTATTAATAATTAAATTTTTAAATAAAAAAATTATTGATAAATATCAAAGATCAGTTTACTGCTAATTAAGAAGATTTATAGAAATACGGTTTTGTGTTTTGTAAATAAAAAGATATAAAATATGACAATGAGTATAGAAAAATATTTATTTCATCTTTGAATATTACAGTATTTTTCGCGATTGAATAATTGATTTACTATCGATTTAAATACATAAGTATCTAATTGTTATACAGCACTACCGGCATTTCGTCTATATAGCACGGAACAAAACCAGAAATTGTGCACATTATATATTACCCTTCGAGAACATTCATGGAATTTGGCTTTGTAGTTCATGTCTACGTTTTCAATGTTCATAGAGGGAGTATCGCTTTTAGGGATCATCTAAAAGCAGGCCATGACACCTCTCAGTCTTCTCTCTGATACCAAGAAGGAGTACTAAGTACTAAGAATTTGACACGTTTGAGAAATTAGGACAAACATAAGCTGAAGAAATAAACAATGACGATGCAAGAAGTAAATAAAACGAAGAAGAAAAGTACACAAAAGGAAAATATAATTAATAAAGAAGAAAACAAGGTGGACAAGCCTGTTGAATTGTGAGTATATTTATAAATTGCATTTATTGAATTATAAATATTTAGGACACACACCGGTCTTCTACATTTATAAATAATCGGATATATACAAATAAAAAAACATTATTATTTTGATAAAATTACTTCTGCTTAAGTAATTATTTAATTTATTTAATTTATTAATATTTATAAAATTTACTTTATTTAATTTATAAAATTGTATTAATTATATTAAATTAATAATAAATTAATAATAATAAAATTATATTATATTAAATTAATTTATAAAATTTATTTATAAAATTGAATTAAAAGTATACGATTCCTATTTTCAATTTAGGAAATATGGACCTGTTGTAACTTTTCCATATCAAAGAGTGTGGTCTAGATGCATTCTGATACTAGGAGTATTATTAATAGTTTGGTATAATAGCAGACAGGCCAAGGAAGTATCTTTGGCAAAGCAGAAAGATGTGCTGGTAAGTCGTACACAGAATGTTGACTGTTCTGTGGATTATAGAGACGAGTTAGAAAAATACCCTGGCTGTGTACCAGAGAAATGTGGCAGAGTCGTTACCGATAAACTTGTCTCGACAACAGAGGTAGATGTTTTACTGAAGTTAGCAAAAGCTGGATTAGATTTGGCTGGATCCGATGGCGGTGCTAGTATTCTGGATCTTCATTCTGGCGCTCTCAGCAAAGGGCAAGGCTTTATCAATATTTACAAACATCCGGCAGCAAAGAAGTTATTTAATAATATGGATTTAACAATTTATAGGTATGATTCTTCTTAATTCTATATGAATATTGTGAGAATTAAATGTAAAGAAAAAAACAAAAATTCTTGCAGAATTTTCTAAAATTAATGACACAAAAATCGATTAAATTTGTTAGATACATGTAAATAAATTATTTTTATAAATATTCCAAATCTAGCTTTTAAAATAAAAATACATATTTAAATAACAGAATTATTACATACATAAATCAACATTTAAACACATACGCATATCTTATTGTATATTTATCATATATCTAATATTTAAGTGAGAAAAGATACATATTTAAATTAATAATATATTGCGTTTAATTTAGGGTAGTGAAAACGAAAATACAACATGCAGTGGCACACAATTTTGGAGTAGATGTAGATAAAATCTATCTAACTAAACCTACATTTTTTTCGCGAATAACTAATAAACCTGCAAAAACCATACATGACGAATACTGGCATCCACATGTTGATAAGGTTTGGTTTGAAACATTATATAACACTCTTAATTAATACAATTATACAAATATAAAGAGATCTTTTTTTTAACTTTTAACGATTGAAAAAAAATTAAAATGTAAAATTTTAGGAGACATATGAATCGTTTCATTATACATCACTGCTGTATTTAAATGATTACGAAAAAAATTTCGAGGGTGGTCGGTTTGTATTCATGGACGAGAACAATGTCAACTCAACAATAGAACCAAGAAAAGGTAAGATTTACATCCGATTAAATAAATCTATCCTGTATGTAAAAATAAAATAATGATTTAACAATATTTGTTCACAGGCAGAGTCTCGATTTTCACCTCGGGGAGTGAAAATTTGCATTTAGTTGAAAAAGTAAAATCTGGTACCCGTTATGCTTTAACAATCTCTTTCACGTGCGATAAAGACGCCGCGATATCCGAATCGCATTTTACCGATGCATTAAATTAAATTGTTTATTTTGTTAATTTCATTGTATATACTGTCCTTTTATCGAGTATATATATATATATATATATATATATATATATATATATATATATATATATATATATATAAGTTTCCATTATTCATTAAATAATTTGCACAAAGAAAATATCTAAAAAAAAAAATCATATAAATATAAATTTGTTTAATCAAATACGATAAAATGTCAATTATTTATACTATCTGTTAAAAATGCATTTATAAATCTTTCAAAATTATTAATAGTAATAAATCTTTTTTTTCTTAATTATATTTTTCATGTAGTTTACATATAATTGATCAATTAAAAACGAGACTTATCTCTCGATGAAAACAAAGCTGTGTTGTGTCATCAGCATAAGTCGTTATACTAGAAGATTTAGCAACATGACGCGCAATTGTACCTGCGTTTATAATTCTCAATCGACTAACAATTAATGGTTCAAAGCGATGCTACGAATTCCACGTTATGAATTGCGTTTCGATTTCTTTGTCGTTGTAGATAATTTCTGTCATTTACTGTATTTGCATCATGTTATCCTTTGATGCCGAGCATATTAGACATCCAGGTTCACACACTTGAAATAATGAAAAATCATTAATCTTCGCAGAATGACTTCCATGTATGAACAGAAATTCAGGACTGTCTTCGGCATCCTCGCTGGATTGCTTCTTACATTCCAAACTCACAATTGTTTGTGCCGCTCTATTCGCCTATATTATCTTATGTGTAGATTATCGAAATGATTTCTTTTATAAATTTCATTAGATTCACATGTAATCGAACATCATCATAATAATATTAAAGGAAGATATTGTTTATATAAGTTTTTTCGAAAATTTATTTGATTATATAATCAGAGAGTTTCGGGGAGATAAATATATTTTATATAAATTTGCATTATTAATTTGTACGTATATTATATACCTACGATGAATAAGTATACATTTTGAAAATATAACACAAATATATACATAATATGTTGAAAGTGTTAATAAAAAATACAGATAGTATATATTTATTTAATATGCCAAACTTTTAATCATTAAATGGAATGAAACATAAATTACATATTGTGCGATAAATCTTGGAATAATCTCTCTTCACTAATTAAATTTTCATTATATCGAATGTGAAGAGTCAGTAATTAAAAACTGTATTAAGCAATGCATTGATATATCTTGTTGTTATTTACAATTTCATCATGCTATATAATGATGAAGCATTGCAGAAACTCCATTAAATGCTAGAAATAACGAGATCGACCCGCTTAAATCAAAGTATCATTAATTACTAAGTGGAGAAAAAAATAAAAATAATATATAATTATATAATTTAAATAAATAGATACGCACGCGCATTAAATTTGTGTCCACTTTGGAAATATCACGGAAAAGCTTACACAGTCTTAAAAACAAATTATTGATCCCATGTACTTAAAAATTATACGAACTTACTATATTTAATTTAAATTAATTAATAATAAGGGAAGTACTAGTATACCATTTTAAAAAGCTGTATCTCGTGCATTTCTCATTTTGTACGTTTTACTTGGTTGCAAAGAGATTTTCTGGTTTGTAATATTGGAGAGGATATGAGAAGAGATATATATGCAAAAGATTCCTATGTAAAGATGTGTCACTTTATACAGCATAAAATCTGCTATTGCGGCAATGTGCAAAGAATGTGCAAACATATGATCACGTCAATGTAATTACGTGATGAAATATATTCTACAACATTCCTGCAACCTTGTGAAGATTAAGTTCTACCGATACCGTGTTATGCGTGAAGCTATTCTCTTAGACATGATAACATTTTTACACGAATTCTAATTACGTTATACGCTTCATTTTAACGAACGTTTTCTCGCGTTTTACAGATTACACTTGCAAGAGACTTGCGATCCTCTTTGCGCTTGTCCCCAGTAATATCGTTCTGTGATTGCCATTTACTTCTTCCACTCTTACAGGTTGTACGCAGATCTGAAAAAGAGCAAAGTATGTATAAATCTTTAAGTATATGATTCGCATATTGTTTCTTTTATATGTGAAAAAAAGATTGAGAGAATTATTTAGCTTTCAAAAAATATCTATCAAATATATAAAAATGTTTATCAACATTTTATTTATTTATTCCACTAATTTTTAATTAGATGTGGCAGATGTGGTAAATATTTATGCTAATACACTCCCAATTTTCTATTTTTCGAATAATTATATAATAAATATAGCATTAAAAAAACGGAATATATTCGATAAAAATTTTTAAAAATATATTGGAATAAAAATGTTTGAATTCTTTTTTAATTTTTAATCAATTCATAATTTTAAAAGAAATTTGAAGAGAAAAGGGAAAAATAATATTAACTATTAAATATTAATAATATTAATATTAAATAATAATTTTTTAATTAATAATATTGATTAAAAATAATATTAATATTAAAGAAATATAAAAATAATATTGCGCATAAATTTAACGAAAGAAACGAAAAGACGGAAATAAATCTCTTACCTGTGATAAATTGTGATCTTCTGCTATAGGTATAAAGTTTTCTTTAGCCTTAATTAGTGTCACTGGTCCTTCAATTTTTTTATCCGGAGAATACATTGTAGCGGCCGCCAATTTTTTGAACAGAAGATATCCAGCGACTTTTAAATCTTCTTCCACAAACGGAGTGTTACCTATTACCTCTAACATTTTATCAAACATCTCTTCCTCCGATTTGCTCTGCTTTAGAACCTCGTATGCCTGGAATGAAACATATAGATTATAAAATAATTCGATATCTCGATTATACATATATGCACTCTGATTATTTATGCGTGGATATTTATGGATCATTTTTATGTCATCATAAACAATAAAATGTTAACAATAAAAATGAGGAAAAAAACACGTAAGTCATTTAATAGTTATTATCAAACGATTCATTACTTTTCAAAAGTAAACAAAAATCATGAATTATTTATAAACAATAAACATTTAATTGTATATAGTATATTATGCATTGACATCTGAATCACTTTTGCAGAAGCAAATGACATTATTCATGACACAACTTTGCACAATCCATGCGAGCTGAACTTGATGTCAATGATTGGAATAAATCGAATTGTTAATCAATATTTGTTGTTGAATCTTATTTGTGCTTCCATGAGATGTAGTATCTGTCTTTGAATGTTCGCGTGCAATTAGCTCTTAAAATAATGAAAAATATATTTCCATAGACATAGAAGAAAGATGTGCAGACATCATGGTACTCACTTCCGGATAAGTGACATTCTTGTTAAATTGAATGCTGAAATACGCCAATGATTTCATACAGCCTTCGGAAACGAGGTAGTTCGATGTATCTATTTTGCCGATCATTTCGCATTGTTGTCGCACAAACTCTATTGAGCCGTCGATTAGACTCAGACTGACATTCTCTCCAACGTACTCCAGCTGCAGAGTCATCTCGATAGCGATGCAAGTTCCAAACGAGTATCCTGCCAGGTGATAAGGTCCCTTCTTTTGAACCTCTTTGATTTTCTTGATATAAAACTCGGCCAATTCCTGTATTGTATCATGCGGCGCACGTTCGACGCTTTGCAGACCCCAAAGTGGTCTGTCGAGTTCCTTGGCTACATGTTCCAACGGTTTGATCAGACCCTCAATCGCATGAACGATAAATAATGGCGTTCCATTTGCGCTCTTTGTTTTCAATTGGACGAGAGCTTCCTTGGGCAGCACTTCACCCGGCCATTGCAATATCAGCATATTACTGGCAGCATTTTTGTCCGAATTTACGGTAGCTTTCGGGACAGCAAGTTGCTTACTCGTCTCACCGGTCGATGAAGATAATTCTTCTAATTTGGCGAACGTCAAGGCGCGGATCTCTTGAGGCGACAGCACGATATCGTAATTTCTTTCAAGAGTCTGTTTTATTTCTGTGCCCATCAACGAGTCCATACCCAAATCGGCCAGGGTACCGTTGACTGAACTGACGTCTTTAACACCTAAGATATTGGCGACAGCTTCGATGAGACCAGCTTTGTTACCGTCATTCGTGGATTTGTGTTTCTCCGCCAATACTGCGGAACATAGCACCGGATGCGGTTGTTGTAAGAACATATCCATAGTCGCCAGGCAGCTCGTCATGTGTTGTGGCATAGTACCACCAATTTCCGTGTCGTTACCTCCCATCGTTTCTAAAAGAGTAACAATTGTATAAGTAATAGATCATACAGAATGGTTTAAAAGTCTGGAAACGGTCAATTATCTCCGAAAATAGTGGTCCTGTGAGAAAATGTTTCAGACAAAAGTTGTAGGGTTTTAAGTGACGCATTACATAGTAATACTTACTATGACTTTGTAGAGTGTTGTTAAAATCACGTCAAGACCACCTTCAATTTCTTAAAAAGAACCCCCTATTTTACGTATTCTTGTAGCTTATCTCGAGAGCTTTCCAAAACACTATAATTAGTTAGTTTTCATTGAGTACTTTCCGAATTATGAAGCTTGAAATCATTTTTTAATTTTACATATTTCGTAAAATATTTTGTAAAATATGTATTTTTTGATTATCTTACCTTAATACTTTTATGTACAAAATAATGAGAGGAATCAATTGCTGTAAAGAAAACACATAGTTTATTTTTAAGAAAAAATATGTAATTGTTAATTGCAAATTACATATTTTTTCTTTGAAACAACTATGTATTTTCTTTACACCAATTGATTCTTCTCATTATTTTGTACATAAAAGTATTAAGGTAAGATAATCGAAAAATGAATATTTTTCTAGATATTTTATGGTTTATGTAAAATTAAGAAATGATTTCAAGTCTCATAACTCGGAAAGTACTCAATAAAATAAAAATAAAAAAATACTTTATTATAGTGTTTTGAAAAGCTCTCGAGGTAAGTTACAAGAATATGTAATTAAAAATAGGGGATTCCATTTAAGAAATTTAAGATGATCTTCATAACAATCTGTGACCTTAATAACAATCTTCAAGATCATAGTAATATTACTGT